TTTTTAAAAACTCCAGTGTTTGATTTCTTTGTGTTGAATAACTAAACAAAAATTCTACTGAATCTCTGGAAATCACATCCAAGGCACTTACTTACCTTGCTGAAACTTACCTTGCTGAAACTTACCTTGCGTGCTGCTTGTTGAAACCGTCTTTGTGCCCTGAACCTGTTTATCCAATTATTATTGACAAGTGGATCAAAATTAGGCTGCAAATCTATGATATTCTGTGAATATAAAGCATAGGCACATTTTGAATTTAAATTTAACTCCTGGCATAAGCATTTAATAAAGATGTGGGTTTTTTTTGTTTTTTTGGTACTGGGGATTGAACTTGGGACCTTGTGCTTGTGAGGCAGGCTGCAGAGCCACTGAGCTAAATCCCTGGCCCTTAATAAAGATGTTTTACAGTCTGATCCCAAATCAAGTTATTATTAATCTGTTCTGCCATTTAGTGAGCATTTACTAAGCACTTTTAGTGCATATTGTATTATAAGGAGTGTTTCTGAAGCCAGGAGCCAAGAGCAGAAGACAAAATTTGAGTTTTAAGAAACTTACAGTCCACTTCGGGCAGCTGTGACCCTGGGAAGAAGAATAAAGTCACATGAAGATCAGTCCCTCGGGTAGGAGTCAGCACTGCCTCAGGAGTTGAAGGGAGTGGAATGAGATCCCAGCAGGGAAGGAGGCTGCTCTGCTCGGCTCTGTGTGCCCAGTGCCAGCACCCACCTACATGTAGGCGTCCAGTGTGCCTAGGCCAGGGGACTCATAAGTATGGATGGGGGCCAGGGTAGAGTGAGGAATCGGAGCTTCAGGGTCTACAGGTTCTAGAGCAGGGAAACAGCATCATGGAAGTTTTGAGCAATGAATCACTTGCACACTGGCCTATGTGGTGGGCTGTAGAGGAGCGGGAGGAGAAGCAGGAACATGAACAAAAACCTGCTGGGTTAGTCAGAGGTGAGACACAAAGGTGGGACTTGGTTATGGCCCTGTTGGAGAGCTATAGGTGAGACTTTGTGGTCATATCCAGTGACAGGGAGAAGAAAAGAAGTAAAAATAATTCAGGTATGGCAAACCCCAAAGTGAGAGTGATGGAGATGGGGAGATTGGGAAGAATTGTTTTCACTGTTACAATTAAAAGTTGGAGTGTTAAACAAACTGTCACACAACAGAGCATCAGGAAGAAGGGCTACTGTGGCCATTTTATATTTGAGGACACTAAGGCATTGTGGCTAAGAGGCTTGTCCTGAGTCCTGCATCTGTCACAGAGCTGCAGCTGAACTGTGGCTTCTGAACTTGGGATCTTGCATTCTTTCCACCAAGGGGTGGGAGAGGGTAGACAGAGGTTGGGGGCCCACCTTGGGGACCTGCAGGCAGGCATGGAGACCAAAGGGAAATAAGAGAGGAGACCAAGAAAGAGCAAGTAGAGGTGCAGATGGGAGGAGCCCAAGTGTATGATGCTGCCAATTTCAAGGGAAACACTGATTATAAGTTTTGGTGTTTTACTTGAGAAGAGAATGCATAGAAAAAAAAAAAGCACTCTGAAGACATAAACATGATCAGACATCTCTTGGGAAAGGAATGTATATAACACTGCTTAACATTTTCAAAAATGAGCATTTAAGCAACAGTCAATAATTAGATTCCAGGGGCCAGGGATTTAGCTCAGTGGTGTTGCCTCCTGCCTCGAAAGCGCAAAGTCCCTAGTTCGATCGCTGGTACAAAAAAAAAAAATTAGATTCCAAACAAAGAAAAGTCACTCACCTCTTCTAGACTGCGAACAACTCGTTTATGGCTAACTTCTGTCTTGAGTCGCTGAAATTCCTCTTCTAGTACAGGGTCTCCTTTATCTATCTGGGTTTTTAATCATCAAAAATGTTAAAGTTGAAGACAAATACATAACTTTATTTTAGTTTAAAACTGGTAGAAATCCATTGAGCAATTTGGGAAACCCACTCATGGGGCCCTGAATAAGAGTGGTAAGGACACAAGGAGGTCATTTACTATTAATAATCACATTTACTGTTTTATCCCCCCATTAACTTTATTGGCACATTTTAGGTATAAAATACAGTTACATTCATCATTGGGATCTTGTACCATTACATGAGTCTCTTGGTTCTTATTT